CAACAACCTTATCTCCTTTATACAAAATCTCCCTTAAAAAACAAAACAAACATGAATGTTCTTTCTTCTGGTGATGCTACTGGATGTAAATAATGGAATACCACAATCCCTGAGGAATCAAATTACTGGTCACCCAAAGGGCACTGGAGAAACGCTTGGTGGCCTTTCCTGAACAGGAAGCGTAATGTGACCGAGGACACACCATACACACAAAACCAAGTATCAAGAGATGTATGACCAGAAAAGGGATGGGTCAGTCACAACAGCAATCAACAGCCATGTGGCCATGAGGTCCATCTGTCTAAAGTCTCCAGAACATGGGTGGACCTCCTGTGGAGGACTGAAAGGAAGGCATGGACTAATGGTGCACAGGATGAGAAAGTATCAATAGATTGTACATTCCACATCAAAGCGATCATAGACCCACTGAGGCACTGTAGTGTCAGAAGTATTTTCCCAACCAATGAATACTAGTGTAAGTATCATCATGGAGGTTCACTTTTTTGGGGGGGGGGGGGGGGAAGAGTCCTTTTGATTGGGAAACTTTTCTAATCAAAAAACTTATTTGTAATGTATCTCACTTAAGTTGCTAAATAATGAGGCTAACTCACTCCCATCTAATGTAATATGCCAGTATTGTTTCCTTTGGGGACCCATGTCCAACAATTAATACCAGTTGTTACTTGTGTATGTGTGTGTGTTCAGGGGGAAAAAAAGGCAGAAACACACACTGATACTTTTAGCATACTTAAGAAAATAGGGCCCTACATACACGTAAGCCTTTATTTCTACGGCACTATCTCCTTCAGGTCAAAAGTCACAACACATGGACTGTAAGAGTGAAGTTCTTATATGAGATGTTAGTTCTTTGTCCCAGACAGACTTAATCATGGTCCAAGCGGTGTAACAATTCTTTTTAAAATTCCTTTGTAATGAACAGGTCGTAACTGAAGGAAATGTTTGGCTATCACCTGTTGTTTGCAGAACTGAAGTGACAGTAATTTTCTTAAAATCTATTAACTCTTCTACTAGGCTTTAACAAATTTCAGGCTTAATTACTTAGTTTTCTCATTTGTAAATGCCATATAAGAACAGAATACAAGAGTGACAGAATGCCAATCTTTTCTAGTCCATAGGGCTCTAACACCTCAAAGGCCTGGAACAAACAGATCAATTAACCATTCTGAGATTATTTTCCTAATCAGTAAAATTACAGGATTGGAGTAGTTTTAGGATGGATTAAATTGGGGAAGGAAGGGACAGAACTTTTGGTTTCTATTCAAGAGAATTAACAGGACAAAGAGCATTATCTGTATATAACACAAAACTGTCTACACCAAAACACTTTTCTGTAGACTTCCCTTGAAAGCTGTTACAGAGTTAGGTGTAGCAGAATAGCACAAAAACATGTAACAGCACTCACTGGTACTGATTTTGGTTTTGGCTAACAGAACCAAAGAAATACTGGATCAGCCCTTACTTTTGAAAATTTCTGGGAGAAATACCATCGACAAATATTTATTTAATAAGCAATTTGAAGTAAACTATTTAGTCAATGGAGTGATTTTCAATGATTCTATAAAAAGGCCATCCACTTAGTGAAATGCATCAGTTAAAACTTCTAGGGCCATGCAAGTAACTTTCAAAAGGATCTTCCAATTTCCATAGCAAGGAAAACTAAATGTCAATCTTATTAGAGCTAATGAATTAAAGTTGACAATAGCAAATGAAGCACTGGTACACATTTAATCTCTGTTTAGGTCCTCTAGATAATCAATGTAGTCCATGCTTGTTTACATTCTTTAGGCAACGGAGCATATTAATTACTATCTATGTTATTACAAAGTCTTAAATTGTTATCTAAATCTTTTTCAGGGCCTAGAAGTTACATCTATAGAGCAGATGAGTATGACTTTAGCTTTGTTTTGAGGATATACTGTTCTCTCTATTTGCTGCCAAGTTCTCCAAGAAGTCAATCCTCAATTTTAATAGAACTGGTTCCATGATCTTACAACAAAACTTTCCAAGGAATGTTCTGTAGCAACAATAGGAATGGCCTAATCCACCCAGACTAAGAAGTGGAAATAACCTATTACTCTTATCTTCCCTGTGGCCAAATTTCAATTAAAGAAATACAACTGTTAACGTGTCATTAAGTTCCTATTCAATCCAGGTTACCACAAAGCTTACATGAGTCTCATCATAGCATTTAAATAATTTTAAAACAAAAGTAATTTCCCAAATAGTCACAGGGTTGTTGCATTTTTTTTAGTTACATTTTTAAATAAAGTTATTAAGGGACCATTTTTTTGATACAGCACAAGCCTGAGATAAACAGGATTTTTCATTTCATCGTCTATGTACATGGATCCAAAAAAACAAAAAAATTCATTTTGAAACATCTTCTTGGGATACGAAATGTTCATATGAAACTTAACTGACTTCTATCAGCTCTGGTGTATTTTTAAGGGCAACTCGGAATACTCCTAATACGCATAGGACATTCTGAGTGTTAAGAAAAGTTCTCAATGCTAAGTTTAAATTTTATTTTTATCCATAAGTTCTTAGTCCTTAGCACAGGAGCATTTTATAATTAGAAAGCTAACATTTGCCTTATATTTACCACCACACTTTTAAAACTCATTAATCTATCTTTGGACTTCTCAATGTCTTTGGATAACTTAGTTTTCTCAAAACAAAGTATACCAGTTTCTTTTGTTTCATCTTGGAATGACAATGTTCAAAGCAGCCACTTTCTGAAAGTAATGTGAAGAACTGCTTAGGGTAGGCTAGGTATCACCAGGGATAGGCAATTTGCAAAGTACTCAGCTAAGTAGAGAACTCTACCAGGCAGAACCAGGCCAGTAGAGAGTAGGAGTAGATGGCTTAAGGAACAGTTACAAAGCAGCTGGGGAGTCAAAAGGAAAAGGCAACCAGAGAAGATATATTCTCTATTTCTCCCTAAAACAGGGAGAAGAGGGAGATACAAATATGAACTGGAGATCTTTTGGCACCCCATTAAGTTTCAAAACAAAATGCCTTTCATGACACATTTGTGGTATTTTAATTAAGATTGCCAGAACACCTGTAATCAGAAATCCCCCAAGCCAAGCATCATTTCCAAAAAATTATCTGATCCAAACCCCTATATTTTTACAACTTTAAGTGGATATGCTTTGAAAGGTGTCAAATTGAAGTACTCTGTTGATCCAGAGAACAGGTCATTTTCTAATGCTGAGTTGGATTCCTGAAAGCACAAACCTATCATGAGTCCTTGGTGCATTATTTGCCTTAGATGTAACCAATGCGTCAGTCAGTAAGTTAATTCCATCACCGAAGCCTTTCGTTGCTGAAGGTCACATTAATTCTTTGGGGCAGGAGTGAAGTTCTTGACCTACCACCTAATACAGAGGAAGAGAAAGGGGGAATCTTTTCAATTAAAAAAAAAAAAACCTCAAAACAAGAATACACAGACTGATTAAATTAACAAGTCATTTTATTATTAAAATTTTATTTAAGAAAAAAATGCTGGCATCATGGAAGATGAATGGCACTTCATAGCAAAATGTTAACACAAGGTAGTTTCCTTGCTGGTCATACCTGGGTTGAAAGTAATACTCAATTGGTAAAGAGCATGGTCAGAGGTTGACCTTTCCAGATTTCCTTAATTTCCAAGAGCAACCGTTTGAAAATCAGCATCTTTAACCCCCAGGCACTTCTCCTGTGTGCATGCCTCCACTTCTAAGAGAATAGGTGGCTCAACACAAGCCAACTCACTACTACCAGGAAAATAATTCCTAAGTGCCAGAAAACACAGAACTGCATCATGATGTCAGCTAATTACCCTAACCATAACAGACACTACTAACTACTTCTTCCTTCCACCTCTTTGATGGTATTGGGCAAGAGTAGACTGGCTTTCCCCCCAAGAACTGCCATACAAACTAGGAAAATGACTTACCACGTCGAATGTTTCTATTAAACTCTTTTCCCCTCAAATTCTTCAGTAATGTTCAGTAACAGTTTTATTCAATAGTACTATTTAACAAGTACAACTTAAGGTTTAATCTTTCCTCAAAATAGAATATAAACTTGCTAAGTTAGTGGAAGAACACTGCTCCACACTTCTAGCAAGCCCATGCAAAGTGACATCCAGAAACATGTGGGTCACTTGCATTAAGGCATTGATGTGACAAGATTACACTTCAATGAAATTTGACTTAGCTATGAATATTTGTCATCCAAAGAGTTTCTCTTCAGGTACTACAATGAGTAACCACTTCTCTCCAATTAAACAAGTAAAAGAAATGTTACCAGGATATGACAGGGCAGTGTTAAGAGTAAGAATGATCAAAATCATTAATTAATAGAAGAGAAACATTACTGAATCAAAAAGGCCAAGGAAGAAAATGGTGTAATACAAAACACTGGTTATTTGGAATTTTATACTCCTGGCTCCGGTTCCTTAACCAACCCATGACTCAGGTCTGATTTTAATAATCCACAAAGAGAGGAAAAAATAAAGGGAATGAAGAGAGGACAAAGGAGAAAACAACATTTAATAGTTCCCCTAACAAGTATATTAAGTTCAGGAAGGACAAAAAAGGTACACTAAAGTGCTTCTGAAAACTCCTTAGAACACATCTTAAAGGTTAAGTGTAAAGTATTGGCTTTCTTGTGTTTATGTCTCTCCTCTGGTGGGAGGAATCAATTTCCAGTTAGATAACCCTGCTGACCCAAAGGGAAAAGTCACCTCTCCCCAACACAGACCACATTTACAAAACACCATTCATACATACATCAACAAAAATTTTACATCTAACAGTAGTTCCTACACAGACAGGCTGGACAGTGCCTTCATCCGTTCCAAGGCATCATTCCACACTGATTTTCACACACCCAATTACTCAGGCATAGTATATTAATAATGTTGCACAGCAAAGTGTTTATACACACACACCAATCCATACACAAATAGTGCATCAGCACCCTCAATTAGATTCTTTCTAAAAGGAGCATTTCCATGTTTAATGTGTTCAGGCTACATGAAAGCAAGGTAAACTTAAAGCAAAAATGGAATGTATAACAGAAGTGAACACTTTGTGTTCTGGTAAGAACAGGTTCTTGTTAAGCTCTCCATAAACAAAGTTCCTAGGCACCACCAATGAAAAGATGGATGAATGAATGCAACAGCTCTAAGACCAAATGAAATTCCCTTCTGCCTTCCCAACGTCCAGCTCACAAAGCCTCCTGCTTCCAGTCTTGGCATATGCCTTTCTATCCTATATGTAAGCAACATAGCCTCAAGACTCTTCGCCTGCCAAAGCTGGGCTAAAGTTGATGCATCAAGCTGTTTTACACTGAAAAACAACTAAGGCTTATACCAAAAAAGGCTTAGGCTAATATATTTCTAGAGTAAAAGTTAACATTGCCCCAAGTGGGCCACAATTTTGTCACCTTGCATTTTACGTAATGTTTGGGTTTTGTTGGCAAGCAGTATCCAGTGATTCTCTAAGATTGGAAAAATAATCTTTTTTTGATTTACTAAATAGCAGAACTGTCGTGTGTACACTAAACTTTTGCATTGCTTCATACGGAGTATAAAAAATTTAAGTCATTGTTGTTTTGATTAGTGTTTATACCCCTAAGTTGACTAACCTGCAGCAGTTTTCACTAAAATAATTACTGCTTTTTATTTAAATATTACTTTAGCATCCATTCAACATCCTGGGAAATGTAGTATTTATAACCATATTTTCCTTTCCTTTTGGCCAAGTCATGGTGGCCTAATAGTCTCTGAAACTCTCAACTCAACACATTGAAATACCCACACTACTATGGACCCCCTAAGATGAAGGAGGCACCAAGACCTCAACCTTAAAGTGATAACTTGTCAAAATTTGCATGAAGTGAATAACTGATAGAGGGAGCATATTTAAACCCCCAATCAGAAGGCAAAGGCAGATTAACTTTCCTGGGGGTAGGGAAAGTTTTCCCTTTTATTTGTGTATCCAAGGGGCTAAGCCCAGTGCCTTGTTTATAATAGGCACTTAATTAAACATTTGCATGAACCCCTAACTATATCCATAGTGGAGCTGCAGTATGGTAGTTGAGTTCATGGCAGTAGCAGAAGACCTGGCCTTGACTGCAGCTCTGCCCCTGCCCTCACTGGGCTGACCTTGGGGAAAATCACTGAGAGAGACTTTTTAAAGGTTCTTTCCAGCTCTAATATTGTGGAGGTACAGTATGTCAGATCTACATAAAGACCAACGAAGGTATATGGCTAAATCGAAGCAACTGTGTTGAGATCACTTAGAAATATGTAAAACCTAAAAAACTGCTATTATGAATATGTAAATGGATGATAAAAACCAAAGCTTTAAATATTTTCTATTCTTTTGCAAAATAATCTGACACAATTTTTAACCCCATGCCTTTCCATGTTTTAATTGCTAACTTTTAACCATCGAAGACATGATTGAGTTAGTACAAAAAGAAAAGTCCAAACTGTCAGCTTTTCAGTCCTCCACAGTCCCCTCTTTAATATGGCATTTTGCACTATGTACATTAATGAAAATTTGAAATAAACAAAAGGAACTTTAGTCAAACTCCCCTTCCTCCTCCAGCTTTATTGATAGTTTAAAATTACATTTCTATGTTCTAGGACTTCAGTTGCTTTTACCATCTGACTTTTAAAAACTGATTACAGCAAATGAAACTCAACAGTTGTCTAAGTGATATAGTATACAAAAATAACATCTTGATTTCTGTGAAAATGCATTTCTCTGCAACTCCTGAATAGCTTCAAATTATGCTTGCTCTGAGCATTGATGTTTACTCTGGGTTTTAGATTTAGTTTTTGAAAAATTTATTCCCAACCTTGCCTTCACCATCTGTATCTCCAGCATTCACATTGCGACGGAGTTGTTACTGTTTAGGTTTTTATCCTGATTTCTCTCTCTCTTATGGCCATTAACAGGCATACACATCTTTTTACTCCCACTCGACTAGATGCTCTATGTAGGGCCTGATACAGATGTTACTCGATGTTATTTAACAGCTACTGAGGTCAGACAATCCAAGGCCATCATTATACTACAATTAAAGTTACTTATGGAAGTTCAAAGACACTTCCACATTCTGTTTTACCTCCTGCATGGGATCACATCCAAGAAACCCAGAAAGGGTTTCCTAGTCTGACTCAACTCTTCCCATTCGTTAATCCCTATTCACCAGTGGCGCGGAAAGGGGGTTCTTTAACAAAGCATTATACATAACACCTCTACCAAACTAAACATAAACATTTTTTTGTAGTTAAATGCAGAAAGTCGATTTTTCCACCCCTTTCCTCCTTTTACACGGCAAGTAAAGCTCACTGGCCTGGGAGTAGCCTCTATCTGCCAACCTTTGGCCAGTGAAGAGGATTCAGAGAAAATAATACAACCATCAATCAGAAAAAGGAGGGGCGACAAAGGAAAATAATTAAGCTGTAGCCTCAATTGTGCATTCCCGTGCAAGATGCCCTGACTCGCCACAGCGATAACAGTTGACTTCACTTGTCTTGCTGCAGTTGATGGCTACATGACCAGTTTCACCACACCTAAAAAAAGAAATTAAAGAGTTTTCACATTGATGCTCAGAAAATGTGAAATTGTCTACCTAATCATTAGCCATTGCACAAAATTAAAGCAATGATGTTTAGTGCCCCAGACAACTCTACTAGTTCTTTGAGACAAGACAGTATCACACTAATCAAGCAACTAAGGGGAGGAAACTTAATGGTAAGGATGAGGAAGTTTTGCACTATTATTCTATTCAAGCTTTGATACCTAGTTCATTCAAAGTTTATTCTGAAAGCAACCAAAATCAAATCCACACAACTGGCCCAAATTTTGTCATACTTCTGTGTGTATTTAATTCTAACGGTATATGTTGTGACAAAGTAGAGGAAGGAGTTTCTCTTCTGATACAGCCTCACAAAATGACATGGTAACATTTGTAAAGATATTTTTAAGTTAGCAAAACTAACACATGCAACAGATTCACTTACGAATCAAGTCAGAACTGAGAAAAACATAAACTTAAGAACATATAGAAAACAGTGTAGCAGCACAATCCTTTGTCAGACAAGAACTAACAACTCTCCTACAACCTGAAATTTTATTAGTTTTCATCTACACTAAATCCTGAATAAATGGGCTTTTTGTTGATTTGATGCCGATGCAAGAGTTGGAATGGAGAAGCAGCTCCCTACTTCCTCCAAGAAACATGTTTCAATAAAAACCCAGAACTGACTGTTAATATTACTAAAACACACCAAACACCTCAGTTATGTTCTCACTTTTACCGCTTACCTAGTAAATCTAAGTTCTTGTTATCTAGACAGTTTCTCATCTCTCGTATAATCTATCAGTATCTAATCACCATCACTAGGTTTATTCTCTACCAGAGCTGTTAAACCAGACCAGACTCTCTATAAAAATGATTCTTGAAGAACACCTGGACACCAATCCTCCAAGTTTTACAAAATGCTTCAGTATAAAGCCCTGTAATCCCTGACCTAATTCAACTGCATGTTAACATTCAAGCCAATCTAAACCACAAGATATTTGCCTTAGATTGAAATCAAAGTACCACCACATGATTTAAGAACATACTACTCGGATGTCTCTTCTAAATATCAAAAACTAGGAATTTCCTATTAAGAATTTACCTTTACCAAAGAACATATACACTCCAGCACTAAGTGGCTTAAACATCCACATAATAAGAAACTAAACTGGCTAAACTGGCAAAATTTCCCCCTTGATTTAAGGTAGGTCATCGACCTCAAAATTCTAGTGCTAGATAAAAGAGGGACTCAAGATGTTAACTCTTCATTAGTTATAAATAAGATTGACGACATGCACAAATGAGTAAAAATTCCTAAAATTAAACCAATAAAAAAGTCTTCCTCACATCCACTAAAGGCATAGTCATACCAAAAACAACACCGGAAATCGAAGACTAGGATTTGAACCAGGACTCCATTATCTCCCGGTTGTGTAACTGGACAAATACCAAACTCAGATCTTAGTTTTTCTTCATCGCAAAATGGGAACTAATATCACTTGAGGGCAGTATACTACAGCAGACAGGGCACTGCTACATTTGAAGGCAGGAAGATTTAAGATGTTCAGATCCTACCTCAGACACTAGTTTATTTGACCCCTGGTAAGTCACATCTCTCTGGTGGTGCTGTGGATAGAGCGATGGGTCTGGGAGCCAGTGAGACCTAAGTTCAAATGTCGTCTCAGACACTTACTACGTGACCCAGGGCAAGTCACTTCACTTCTGCCTCAGCCTCCTCATCTGTAAAACGGGGATAACAACACCATCTACTTCCCAGAGTTGGAAGATAACATAAACAGATATTTGTAAATTGCTTTAAATAACGAAGCACTATATAAATATTATTACCTCAAATTTGTCATATATAAAATAAGGGAATTGAACTTGATAGCCTTTAAAGTCCCTTCCAGATCTAAAATCAAGTGTTCTACGTCCCTCTCCCCATACTTAAGGTGTCCCAAAAGTCTCAGTACAGTTTAAGGTATTAAAGCCTGAGTTTAGGTAGGTGGTATGTAGCAGTACATCTATTGGGGGGGAAGAAAGACAAGAGATTTTGTGAGCTAGGTTAAGAGAGAAATACGGCTATACAGAAATTCCTAAAGAGGGATGAGAATGACTCTCAGAATAAGCTTTCTAAATGAAGACAAGGAAGGGGCTAAAGAACAAGAGTTTACACGCAACTACACTGTGCCTTACTAACCCACTATTCCATTTCACTTTTTCCTCACTGTCAAAACCAGATGCCGATAAAAAAGTGCTGATGATCTATCTAACACTAGCAAATCTTTTGCCCCATATTTTAAGGAATATAGCTGTAGGATCTATCAAGTGCTTAACAAATAGTGCCCATCAAAACAAAAGTCCAGATATTTTTGTCATCTTAGATGACTTTCTACTTGTAAAATGAGAAAATTGTATGTAGCTATAGAATACTTTCTTTTGCCCCAAAGTCCAGCTCACATACCACAAGAGGACTCTGAGAACAATGTTAGAATCTCACCTGGTCACAAACAAAACCACACTGTGTGAAGTCCTCTGAGGTACAGGAATTTAAGTCATAACTTCAGGACACTGCTACTGTCCTTATTTTTCTAATTTAAGATTACACAGCCATCCTTACCTATAGCATTTCACTTTGGTGCAATCTTTCTGAATGTGCCCAAACTCTCCACACGAATAGCACTTCTGCTCGTCTGCATGGTCACAGTCACGAGCCAAGTGGCCAGGTTTGCCACAATTGTAGCAGCACTGCTCTCTCTCCCGCTTCGGTTCCTTGCAGTCCTTGGCAATGTGGCCACCTCTACCGCAGTTATAGCAGGCTTCAACAATAAGGAAAAGAAGCAGACCAAGACTATAAAACCTTTATAAACTGAAGATGAATTTTATACAATCTGCTACACAAAAGTCTTAAGACGGCTTCTTTTTATGCTTACCACTCTGCAGAGGAGGAGGAAAAATGAAGTGTTAAATACTTACCATCCTCCTGAAGATCACAATCCTTGGCAAGATGACCAGACTCACCACAACGGTAACAGATGTCTGGAAGAGATGAAGAAACAAACTGGAAACCTATTACAGACGGGAAACAAAGAGTTGGGAGATTAGACCAACCTTGGTAATTGTATGTTTTGAAATTTCAAAATTTTTTCCAACAAAAATACCTCTCGCTGAGGTAAAACCACCTCTTCCACGGCTCCGCATTCCTCGGCCACGGCCTCCTCCAGTAGGGCATTCTCGGGCCCAATGGCCAGAGCGTCCACATTTGAAACACTCGTTGCTGCTCATTGCTGCACTTAGATCTTCTAAACATTAAAGAATACAACCATTAGAACATCAGAAATAACTTTCAGTGACTAAAAACATGCCAGCGGAAACTGATAATGACTGCAAAAGGGGAAGGGATGGGATGATGACATCCCTCATATTAGTAATTTCTTACAAAGTATGAGTATGTGGAACCATGTGATTTAGGAATCTACAAAGAAAGTTAAATACTCTTAGCTTATAAATTAGTAAAAGAATTGTTACAACAATTCTTTTCAATTTGATTATACACAAAAGGTTTTTTAAATACTGCATGGCTTCATAAAATAATTACTGTACATTTAAAAATATTTTGTAGTTTATATATTTTCTTATTTAATGAGCGTATTTTCTATCTGTTTTATCGATGATCAAACTGCTTCAGAAGTTAAATGACTTACCAAGACTCATAGATAGTGACTAGAATTCTGGTTCTTAAATTCAATGCTTTTTCTACTAAGAGATTATTCTAAATTCAAAACAATGTAGTTCTAATTAGGAAATTTTGAAAGACCACCTGTCTTCATTTGTACCAAGCATAGAAGCATTTTTAATGTAAAGAAGAATTTCAAAGTATAAGGCCTTATGTATCATTGCATTCACTAAAGCACTCATATAGTTAATGAGGATTCAATTAAAACATATTTCTTGAAGTTATTGTTATAAAATATGCTGCTCTGATCCTGGGGCTGTAGTTACATGTCAGAAACTTTAGAAAAACAAAACAAATCCACTCCAATAAATAAAGGAAAAAGAACTTAAAATACATTAAGGAAAATACTTTTCTAAATTATAAAAGAGACAGATGGTTTCTCAGTACTGACTAAATTACAGCTCTTACATAGTACTGACATCACAAGTGCCAAATACTTTTTATGTCTACAATTAAACTAAGAACTGTCCCTTAGCAAACAGTCCATAATTCCCAGCAATAATGGTGTTCCATAATAATTTCAGCAATTACTTAACTACCATAAAGTTCATCTTCATCTGACCTTAACATTAAGCTCACTACTAGAATGTATAAATGTAATTCACAAGCAGAATTTGACTTTTAATCATCCTCCAGGACTGTTTCCTCATCTGAAAAATGAGTTGGACTAAATCTTCAGATCTAAAATTTTGTGACTGCACAGGTCCATTTTTAAGTCATCTATAAAAAGCCTTAAGAGGGATGGTTTATACCTCAATAGCTTACTTCTGTAAGCTATGTGAACAGTTATTCACATAGCTCTGCTATGACTAATCTACCATAGAAATACCTTTGCACCACTCACACAAGACCAAGAATTTGCCAAGATATTTAAATCTGGCAAGGTTCAGCTTCCAACTGGTCTGACACTGGAGTGGGTTGTAAAAGGGGTCTGAACAAGTTCATTCCCAATAAATTTTTTTGTTAGAATAGGATTTTCCTTGGAGACCCAGGGATGTACTAGATGACCTCAAGATTTTCTTAGCCTATAATTATGTTATTAAAGCAAGGATAAGCTCAGGATAATAGAGCAAGTCATACCAGAAAGGAGCATGCCTTGGGGTTTTTAGTTTGTCTTTAGTCTTTTAATTATTACTCCCTCAATACTAGAAATCAAAAGATACTTAAAATCAGATTGTCGTCTTAGACCCTCCCAAATTCAGAACTGTTTTAATTGTATTTCAAATCAAAACATTTTTCTTAGGTTAACATGGTAACCTCATTTTAGACAACTTACTGTCATTTGCCAGTATAAGAATTAAACCACAAGTGCAAGGTACTAATATTGATATTTAATTGGAAATTGATACCATCGGAAGAATGGGGGGGGGGGGGGGGGGGGAGGGCAATGGCATTAAGTGACTTGCCCAGGGTCACACAGCTAGTAAGTATTATATGTCTGAGACCAGATTTGAACTCAGGTCCTCCTGAATCCAGGGCCAGTGCTCTATCCACTGTGCCACCTAGCTGCCCCTACCATTGAAAGAATTTTGATAGGTCCAGTTATCGCAAGTCATTCTAATGGAAGAATTAGTTACTGATTATTCACACTTCATGGTTTCTTCTAATTTCTGCCAATAGTCATTTTCAGAAAAAAAGAAATTGTTTTTAAAGTTTTTTTCACTCAACAATGCTAATATACAGCATACATTAAATATCTTCTAGGTTTTTCAAAAACAAGCTTACAAATCGATAACCCACAATATGATAGTATTTTATGTATCTCATAATAAACACCAAGAGTATGCTTTCACGAAGACAAATACAATTCCTTCAAGATTCCTTGCAGTAATAAATCTGACAGGACATATTATCCTATAATGTGTGGTGCCTCCCCCATCCCCAAGCAGACATGCTAAAACAAAAACAAAGTAACCTCTGTACCTGCCAGTTTCTGCAAGTATACATTTAGTACACATTTAACACTTTTAACTTTGGTGCCAAGCCACAATGAAAAACCTTAAAAAAGCAATTATAGAATGTATTGAGTAAAAACACCAAGACCAAAGTCAAGAAGCACAAGGAGCTTAATATAAGGAAGCCTCAAGAATACTACATACTATGCCTGTATATCAAAATCAGCAAAACTAATTCATTTCCTAATCAACAATCAACAGTTCAAATCCATGTTACTTCATGGAACAAGAAGAGCCTGCCCGCTTTCATCTTAAAATTTCTTTGAAGCCCTACCAAACCGTTATATATAAGACAGAGACAGGGATATCTACAATGCCACAGAACACACACTTGCACTTACAAAAATGGTGCTGTTAAGGAAGCAAATTTAAAATTCACATATAATAGGAAGACTCTTACTACAGGGAATTACATGATCATCCAAAAAAAAAAAAAAAAAAGAGCTGCTACTTAGTGGCCGTTTTTCAGATACTGTTTACTGAGTGGAGATCCTCCTATACAAAACATGATTAGAATTTAACTTTTAAGTTGATCATTGATTTGTATGGTTTTATATTTTAGATATATACCTTTGCTGGAAATAAAATTTTACATTATGAGCTTTCCACTAGGGGGGGCTATAAAATGCAACACTGCTCAAAGTCAAAAGGTGGGCAAGTGAACAGCAAGTGAGCTTTTTCTTGTCTGTGGCTCTAGTCCCCAGTTTACAAGGTCCAATACTTGCACATATGCCAAAACTTAATTTGAGCTCTCTGTGTAGGAACTCTCTACCAGCTTGTAAAAGTTCCCAGTAACATGTCAAATTTGATGGGTTGGCTGGTTTTGCTCAACTGCTGTTTTTAAATTAATTTTTCTCTTTTCAAAATTATTACAAGGGATAATTTGCCAGGTAGAGGGGCATATGCAGAAATGAGAATAAAACGAGAGATACCAATAATTCTCAAAAAGAATTTCTAGTATCATTTTGTCAAACTTTTTGATCTGTGATTTTCAGGGTAGGGAACCCCTCCCCACCTCCCAACACTGAGAGGTTTTTGAAAAGCCAGCTAGCTAGACAAGACTCAAAACCTAGCTCTTAGTGACCTCCAAGACTACTTGCTTTCTACTACTGATGCCCGGTTGATTCTTTCAAGACAATTTTGAAAATTATAAATTTTGCATATATGTCAATAAGGAAAACAAAGTCCCTGATGCAGATTAGCATTAGCCCCATTCCACTAAGGACTTTAGATTTAAAAATTTTAAATTCCTATTCAAACGTCCTATTCACAATGCTATCATTATAGCTGAAAATTTGTATTTATAATTACAAAATTACCTTTTTCCAATAGTCAATTTAGAAAATAAGTTTCTAATAAAAGGAGATTCTTAATTCCCTTCTTTTGACATATTACTTTTTAAAAACATGATCTATCCTGTGTGACCTTAGGAAGAAAATACTCAAAACCTACATCGTTTGTCTAGGATGCACACAGATCTAGTTTCTCTTTATAAAGGCAACAGACATCTTTAAACAACATTTTATTTTATTCTTTAATTTTTTTAAGGCAATTGGGGTTAAGTGACTTGCCCAGGGTCACACAGCCAGTAAGAGCCAAGTGTTTGGTCTGAGGCTGAATTTGAACTCAGGTCCTCCTGACTTCAGGGCCGTTTGCTCTATGCACTGAGCCACCTAGCTGCCCCCTAAATTACATATTTTAGAAAGATAACGAAATGTTATTTATTGATGACTGTCAAATTAGTAATTGAAATTATTTTTTTTTTTTTTTTACATTTCATGAGATTGAAGGCATTGTAAAAAAGCAGGACTGGAGACCAAGCATGTTGAGTGGCCCAGACACAAACCTAAATCTAACTATGAATGTCAAATCCTAAGTGTTTGAGGGAAAACCAGAAAAGTTCCTTTTATGACAGGCATATATGTAACCACATATTTGCTAAGTATTAAATAAAGTCACTGTGGCAAAACTCTCTCAAATACTGGCAAGTTAAACTCACCCCAAGTTTTTCCAACACCTACAGAATTCTTTACCTACCATTCAAAGACTTCATGTTTGTTACTCTCCAAATAGGTCAGCATACATATAATTTCCAATGGCATCCAGCCAATGAACAAACTTAGAAAAAGGAACAGGCAGTTCTGCTTAGGCTCTACTACTTTCCTATGTTTCTAAGCAAGGTTGTCCACTGCTACAATAGGCCAGTGATCAAAAGGGTGGTCTAGAGAAGCTCTTTGAAGAATTGCATTTTTTTTTTTGCTTTAAGTTTAAGATTATGCCACATTTTCTTGACGTGAGGCATTTTTGTATTGTTAGGACAACTACTACAAATTGAGAGTTTAAAAGCAATTAAAAAAAAACCTTAGTTCCCCCAAAGATTCTTGAAATTGTACAACAGGCACAGATGAAAAAGTAAAATAAGCTATTTGGGTTTACTTTTCCAGCACATTATCCTTGGGATTGGGCATGAAGACCTGGTGACGTCCTGGTGTCATCTCTACTCCAGAAGGCAAACAATTATAAAGAAATTATAACATTTTGTCTTTTACATGTCACTATAAAACACTTCTGACATATTCTAAGTATCATAGCAATTCAAATGAATCTGTTGTATTTAATATGGAGTACATACTGGGCATTAGGTTCTTACCTTATGAATAAAAAACCAAATAATTTGACTTCTTTCTTTTTACCAGATTTTTCACATAAATAATGGCAATCAGGAAAACTACTTGTATCCTTTTTCATCTAGGAGTCAACTGTGTCACTATAATTTTAAATCTTGCTTCATCCAATCTGTATAGTCAAAGCACTCAATTTATTCATGGCTCTTCCAATTTTTACAGGTTACAGTACAGGCCATTTTCCTTAAATGGTATAAAACAAATTAGGTTATCTTAACCTTCAATTTATTAGTTCCTTTCCCAGCTGAAAAACTTACTACTTTCACCTTAAGAGGAAAAATTAGTAAATTTATTACATACTCTACCTTTTAAAGATCCTTAAGAATATATTCCTTTTTATGGCCAACTCTGAATTATCAAAAAATACCTATGAGCTCCATTATTACAGAGAAATATAAGTCAAATATTATAAAATTTCATTTTACCCAATAGTTTCAATCTTCTCCCCTTCAAATCTTACCAAACTTGACGAAAATTTTCAAAATTGTCTTTTAAGTTTCTTTCATTGGTCCATCCTCTGATGAAGGAGTCTAGGCAAAAGGCAACTAATAAGAAGCCAATGACAAGGTAATCGGTCATTGAATCAAGCAAAGATACTGTCTACTGAGCAAGACTTAGGAGTTTGCTCATACCCCAAAATTGGTACCCCCTCATTTATCTTATGTAAATAAAGTTACAAACTAAATAGGTAAGCAGTTTTTATAATATGAAAATTCTCTATGCATAGGATAGGTTGATCAAACGAAGTAGTGTAACTGAAAAAGAACTGACTGCTTCAGAAGACCAGAACCTAACACCTTCCCCAAACTGAATGGCCAGTGGTGCTGCAGAGGTGCCCCTCCTTATCTGCAAAATGAGTGCTGGCCCAGAACTGAGATGAATAATTAAAAAAAAAAAAAAAAAAATGAATGAGTCACTGCCAGGCCCTATTTAAAAAAAAATCTTGCAGATAATCTATATGGGGTTGTAGAACCTTTGATTCTAGTCACACCACATGAAATAAAGAAAAATTGGCAACCCAAATGTCCAACAGAATGGCCACAGAAATAAATCAGCTGCACATTAACATGACAATAGAGATCTGGGGGGGGGGGGGGGGGGAAGAAGCATCCAGGGAAGGATTCAGACTTTGATTAAGGTAGAGCAAGGTACCACCCCCATTTTTAGAGATAAGAAATCAGGCTCCAGAGTTTAAATGTCTCACCCAAGGTTCCATAAGCTTTGAAGGGTGTGGGGAACAAGAGGTACCAGAATACTAAAGCCCTAGTTATATCAACTGTCAAAAGGTAGAAATGAAAATGACATAATGTTATGAAATAACATTAAGTGAGGAAAAAAAGGCAGGACAAGTTATATTCAGATTATTAAAGGTATATATACTAATCAGTGTTTTCTATGATGGAATCCTACAATTAGAGTTAGACATAACTTTGGCAATAACCTAGCTCAACCCTCTAATTTTATAAAGAAAATTAAATTAGATTTAACAAAAATTTAAAAAAAAAAATAATCTGAAATGGTACATTGTCCTAAAAGAGAATTTAATGTTAAGATTGCTTTAAAGGTTCTATTTTTTGAAAATAGCTTTCCATAACACAGTGCTCTCATTGCTTTAATAGCTATTTACATCAAAATACTGTGCATAGTCATTCTTTGTTTCTCCATCTATAAAATGAGCAGTCCATTCCACAACAAAGGTTGTTTTAACAACTTAAGTAGACTAAATCAGAATGTTTACTCTGACAACCAAAGGAAACTTCAATAATTTTAAAATACATAGGCTTAATATCTTTAAAGTATTAGGATAGAGATGAAACATAATAAAATCCATATACCTTATTGAAATGGAATTGAATTGTACCCCATATTGGTTACGTTAAACAAGTGGTCAAATACACTGAGTTTTGAAAATTGCTCCAAGACTATTTAACTAACACTTTGAAAGAAATGGAATTTTTTATTTGGCTTTACATTTTTTTTTTCAGTGTACAAGTATTATGCTCCTTGATTTAAAAAAGTAAACAGCTTTTTGAATTGGGGGGAAAACCCACTGAATTTCTCCTCTTACCACTGGTAAGAAATGTGACTGACAATAGTGCTTTGCAGAACACTAAATATCATTTAGAGGACACTCAATTTTTAATAAGAAGTCATACACACTTCATACTTGAAATAAAAATCTTTCTCCCTCTCCCCAATAATCACACATGATAGTGTATTTTTTACAGATTTGACTTAATCTTTTTACAGGTACAGTCTACGTAACTTGCTGAAAATTTCAGTACTGCAAATTGTCAAATGCAAAAGAATATTATGAATGTAAAATACTGCAAAACAGTAACCTCAGCATGGAAGAATATTTATTCAGTACTCAGTATTTTCATGGAATATATTCTAAACTGAACAGCTTTAAACCTGCTTTAAAAAAAAAAAGGATGACCTCATAAGAGCATAAATTACTATTTGAAGTGATGCAGATATCAGCCTCTTACCCCTCCCCCATTACATCACATAGGCCAAAGGCCAGTGATGTGGGGGGGTTGGGGGGAGGAAAAAAGACATTGAGAATATGGCTTTAGGGAACCCAGAGAGATAAGGTTACTGATATTCCGTGACTTTTAGTTTACCTTTAATTAAGCTAGTAAATGAAAGTATACAGTCATACCCTAATAAGCTAATAAGCTCTTCCAGCTTCCTTACTATCTATATTGTTCCGATCTTCCTTTGGGTGGGAAAAATCGAATATTACCTACCAACTGCCTTAGTCACGGCCAATTTAGGCTACAATTATTTAAATAGGTTTTTAAGACTCTCAAGGCCAGATGTAGCTATTTTACTTTAAAAATGCCTTCCAGCTCAGGCCATGTGGTTAACATGTGGAAACATGACTATATTTTATACAAAATATAATCTCAAAATCTTCAATTTGGATGATCATCTAGTTCCAAAATCATTCGTGACCAGATATGGATATTGACTAAATCATTTTTAAATTCTTGCAAAATCCAAACATTGAAAAACCAACTTGCATTAAAATTTTCGAAAATTTTTTTTAAGGCTTAAATGCTTTGAATAGACTAATAAGTCTAGCAAAAATCGGTGGGCTTTGGGGTTTTCTGGTTAACTTGTTTAAAGAACTTGGATTATGTTGTAAAGAAGACAGCCATAAAATGCTCGCCTTACGTCAATAAAGACGCAAGTAAATCATTTGCTTTTGATAACCTTAGGACCCTAATGAAGTTACCAGACAGACTCCTGGAGGCCAAACTTCCAAAAGCACAGGTCTAGTCCACGGGGCGCCCCGGACCCATCGAGGCACATGGCCCTCGCCCGGGGGCCCCTCCGCCCCGAGCACATGGTCGGCGCAGAGCCTCCACCCCTCCCCCTACCCCCCCCCGCACCCGGACACTCTCCGCTGCCACATGGCCCCCTTCTCCCAGGCTCCCCGCCACCGCAGCGGCCGGCCCTCCCTCGTTCCCCCCAGGGACGTGGCCGCGGCCGCTCGGGCGCCTGAGAGGATTCGCCGGGCCCAGCCTCTTCTCGTCGTCGGCGACCCCGCGCTCTGGCGGCCTAGAGACTCGGGGCCTGTGCCCCGGCCCAACCGGCCGAAGGGCGAAGGGTCGCCCTTGTACCGCCGCCGCTGCGGGGCCAGAGCCGGGGAGGGCGCCAGCGGCGGCTGCAGGGCTTCCCGCCTGACGCAGCGGCGGCGGCGGGCCAGAGCTCGGCCGCCATCGCTGCCGCCTCAGCGCACCCCCCCCCCACCCGCCGCAGCCGCTTCCCCTGCTGGACTCGGGCAGCCCGCCCGCCCCGGCCCCGGCCCTGCCCGACCTCCGCCCCGCTCCCCGAAACCAGACGGGTGGTTACCTAAGACGTCGAACAGGGCCCGCGGAGGTAGCGGGGTCGGACGCTTCAGCTCCCGAGGAGGGTAGGGGGACGACGGCGGCGGCAACGGCTGTTTATTTTCGGGGTCCCAGCCTGCGCCACACGCGGATCTGCACACGGCCCCACACACGCCGTTGCGCACGGCCCCTCCGCCTCGCCCACGCGGCCAATCAGCGCCCGGATTCCGGTGGCCCAATCAGCGCCGTCCGCAGGGAAAGGAGGCTCCCCCTCCCTCAACGCCTCCTCCACCTCAGCTCAGCCCCTCCCCTTTCTCTTTCCCGCCTTCCCCTCAGTCCCCTCCCGTCAGGCTCCAGGCCCTGGCTCAGTCAGTTCCCATTTCAGGAGCGGCTATGGCGTGGCAGTGTGTGGAGCCCCTGCCTCGCCCCGAGGGTCCGCTCTGCTCAGCGGTCTTTCCTTCCTCGCCAGGGCCCGGCAGGGAGCCCAGGCCCCTCTCTCCCCAGCCGGGTTTGGCGGTCGCTTGGGGGCGGGGGTCTGCGGAGGCGATGCGCACATCACCTACTCGGTCATAGACTGTGCCCCGGGCCGGGGCTCCCTGCGCGCTGCCGGCAGCGCAGGCACGGCCAGCGCGTGTCACAGTGCAGCTCTGTGAGCACGCGCACACCCCCTCCTCCCCCCAGTAACGGCCCCTCTAGCTCGAGCCCGGCCCCGCCCGCAGCCGCCGGGGAGGCCCGGAGAGGCCTGAGGTCGGAGCGCGGGCCACTGGCGCAGGAAGAGCGCAGCCTCGAGGCCTCGGGCCTGCCCAGAGCCGTGCTTGAAAAAACACTTTTGACCCCAAAACCCAGGCTAGGCAGGAAACTCCTGAATGAGGCCGTGAGACCTGTCCGTCCGGAGAGCCGGGCCTCCGCTCCGGGGCTGAAGGTCCCCAGCAGTCCCCCTTCGGCCCCCGCAGGGACCTGCCTGGCCCCTTGCCCTGCGCCCCAGAAGCCCCCTGACGACGCAGAAGCGAAAGGCTTCTAATCTTTGATGTGCCCTCATTCTCGTGCTAAATGTGCTTTTAACAAACGCCGAGCTGTAGAAGCCGCTTCTCGAAATAAGCAGACTGAATGGGTTACTCTGAAAAGCCATTACTGGGGGAACAAAAATTAGCGGTCGTTTAAATTCAATGCTTTTTTTTTTGGTGGGGGGGGGGGACCCTGGTCTGGACCTGTGGTTTCATTGTTGTATGAATGAATAAAAGAAAAAGCATTTCTTAGGTGCTTACTGTGTGCTGGCTACTTGGCTAAAGCATGGGGATTACAAATACTGACTTGTGGAGTTCTTGCCTTCAAGGAGCTTACATTCTAACCAGGGACAAAACAACCCATATATGAGAGTGGGGATGGTCCACAAGTAATTTAAGCACCGTGTTTGTCTGTTTCTGAAAATGACGTAACCTGTGATGTCTTGACTTGTGGGTGAACTAGATTTGAGCGAGGCAGAGTTGCACAAAGTCACCAGCCTCACTCTTCCAGAGTCAACAAAAGTCCAGTGGCAAGGCAAAGTCAAGAGGACTGGCGATGACCCAGGATGCAGTGGCTGACCTGCTTCTACCATTTCTGACCAAGCTCTAAGCTCTTGGGTTGCTTTCATGACCATTGGAACAAATTGTTCTCATCCACCCATTCCAACTGGACATGCTTGGGGTAGATGTCCCCCTAATTCACGGATGGGTTTGAGGCCTGTCCATTGCCCTCAGCCTGTAGGGCTGCTTGTCTGCAGAGACAGTTTTACTACAGTATGGCTGCTGCTGGTGCTACAGCTTCTTGGAGCCACAGGTGAGAGCTGGGTGATGGGTGGATACCAAAGGTGGATGAGCAGCCCTCACATCAGAGATGCTAGTCCTCCCTGAACATCGTTTACACCACATAATTTTGGAGGGAAGTCAAAGAGAAGGTTGATTGGAAGGCGATTGAGATATCCTTACCCTGTCATCTCCATGTCACTTACCCATTACTGTTCTCAGAGCTAGAATTAAAATGGGAAAAGAGAAGGTTCATATCATGGACATGACCTGGAAGTTTTGTGGTGATGGGCCTGACACACAATCTCTGCCCAAAGTCACAGAGCTGGGATGTACAGTTCTGCATTAAAGTAGGTAGGTCTTAGAGAGCAACAGGCCCTAAGACATTTAGGTGACCAGGAACTCCAATACAGAAACTTCTCCCAATGCAAATTGACAACCACTTTACTTTTGGTCCTAGAAAGGTGCACTGAGAAGTTGTGACTTGCACCAGGGTCTCTGCTGTCAATAATGTTTACTTAATGAGCAAGTCTTTAACATAAGTCCTCCTCACTACCAGGCTCAGCCTCTCCATCCACTAAGCCAAGCTGCTGCTTCTCTATGGAAATACAACAAAAAAATTAATTTAGTTCCCATTTTTGAATCATATTGAATAAAGTCAAATATTACTGTATATCTGATATTTACCTACTAAGATATAACAATATCTGAATAACAATATACTTTTTCATTCATATAGGCTTATTTCCAAGGAACTTACATAGCTTTATATGTTTTTTCCTCTAATTTTATTAATCTTAAACCAATACCCTGAATGAGTAGGAAATAATTTTTACTACTGTCTTTTCCAGATGAGGACTCAAAATAAAGTGAGGTTGTGAATTGCCTAGAATACAACATAATAATTTATGTTTAAATGGCTATAGTTTATGAAGCTCTTTCCTTACAAAACCAAACTTAATTATCCACATTTCACAGGTGAGAAAACTGAGTTAAATTGAGAAAACCCCAGAGAATTAAGTGACTCGTCCCGTACAGCTAGGAAGTGCTGGGAGAAACCCAAGTAGAGGAATTCAGGCAGAACACGGACAGGAGCTACAGGGCAGGAGCTATGTCTACTAAGTCCTGATCTGTATTGTTGGGGAGAGTTCCCACACTGGAAATCACAGTCCCATTATAGGATGAAAGTGAAAATTATATGTTATAAAGTTCTTATTAGGATGTTAACCCTTCCCTGACACGGTCCCTTGCATATACTACTAGGTGGTTAATAAATGTACATATATTAAATAGAATTGAATTGCCATCAGTACAGTCTCTTTAGTCACTTTAACTTCACACAGTGCAAGAGCTCCAACCTTCCAAAGGGTGATACGATTAATGTCCTATCTCTCGTATCTGTGGGTTTTTTGAGGCAGCATGGTTTAATAGGTTAAGCTTCAAACCAAGAACCCATATTTTTAAAGACCTAGTTCTTTAATTTATCTATTAATTTGATAAAGTGACATTGTAAAAAATGTTAAACTATAATATAAGGATGAATTAGCGTAATGTAGGGTTTTATCATTAAGTACTCCAATTTTTAGTTTAACCTTATCTACATTTCTTAATCTAGCAATAAATACTTTATAAATAATTGAAAATTAGTCACACTTTTTTTTTAAGCTAGAAACACTATAATGAAAATGGAATACCTTCTAGCTTTATAAATAAGCCTGAGCCAAGAAACTACCAAAGTCTAAGAAATTTAGTTGGGAAGGTAAATAGTGGAATAATAATAATTACTCTGACATCAGATTATGTCTACTTTTTTTGGGGGGGGCTGTTTTTAAAGGGACTAAAATCCATATTTTAATATCTGTGATACTGCTACCCAAAGACACTCAAAGAATTTGAAAACCAAAAGGCGCCTTATAGATCATCTGCTCTAACTTCCTTATTTTTATAACCGATGAAAGAGGCCTAGAGAGTTTAAGTACTTTATCCAAGGTCACCCAGCTAAGAAAGAGGCAGGGCAAGACCTCAAACTAAGGTCTTTTAAATTCTTCAGGTTATCCAAAATACTCTAGTCAATGAACCATGCTAGGAGTTCCTCTATAATATAGTTTGTAATATTGAGTGGGTTTTTTTTTTAGTTCTTTCTCTACTAGTAAATAGAATTCAGCTTTATCAAATAATATTTTAAAATCACTTTTCTAGTATCCTTACACTGATATTCAATTTTCAATTTTAATTGAGTCAAATGAAAACTATAAATCAAACAGTCAAATTGTTATGTAGGCATTAGAGTTCTAAAAGTAAGATTATTCAAATTTTTTTTTTTTACTGGAACTTCCAGCAGGTTACCATCTAATTTACATATGGGTATAAAAATACATTTTCCTACATCTCTGCTATTGTGTTATAAAGATCAATGAGTTAATGGTCATAGAGTACTACTAGCTCAATCAATTTAATAATTTATTCTCTTGAAACAGTCTTAATATGATTTTCTAGGCATAAACAGTTCATGAGGTAAGCAAACCCTACGTATGATAGACCCTGAGAATTTGTGGACAAGCTTTTTCTAAAAAATGACATACTTAGAGAAGATATATATATATATATATATATATATATATATACACACACACACAGAGTAATATATATATAGAGAGAGTTATATATATATATATATATATATATATTACTTGTTCAAACTAGTACACTTCCAAAATATTATCAAAGTGTCCTTATTAAGAAGATTAAAGTGTCACAGATTTCATCAAAGAGAACTGGGGGTTTCCATGTGTCATCGGGAAGACTAAAATGAAACTAATGTATGATAAATTATGATCTAATTAATTATATTGGTGGTCTGCATAGAGTCTAAAAACGAAGTTTAAAAAGTCTTGAAAAAGAAGAGACAAAGAATAAGAATTTGTCAATATGTTTTCAGCGCAGTCTAGGATAAAAGATCCTCTAATTTAATGTCCTGAAAATGGAAAAAGGCAATTCCTGAAACCACCATAGTATGATGGAAATAGCCCTTAAGACTATCCAACTACTTCTGTTTTAAGTCTATACTCACTAAGTAACTTTCTGATCTGTAATTTTGTGTCCTGAATGGATGTCATCACCAGGAAAGCACTGTCTGTGCAAATGAATGGTAATATAATCATTTGAGGCTGGTATGTCACTACTGTGATGAATAGAGGCACCTTGGCTTATCAGGTTAGTTAGTGTGAACTAATTCTCAGAGCTTGATAGTTTCTGAGTAAACTAACAAAATTGAGTTTCTGCCTTTTCCAAGGTTGGACTCAAACAGTGTCATCAGGTATAACCTGTGCCTTTCTATTCCACTGCTACACGTTCCCATGTAGCAAGTAATAGTCTGCCATGATACTTT